TTAAACTTTATCTATCCAAGAGTTCATGAGTTCAAATCATTTACCCCCACTTATTCTACTCAATTAAATTGAGAAAGACTTTTCCAAAAATCTCATCATCTTTTAAAAGATTTCAAACTTAGATGAAAATAGCTTATTATGATAATGGGTTGGGAGGTGGGGATCGAACTCACAACCTCTTGATTGGAGATATATGTCAATTATCGGTGAGTTATGCCCGTGTTTCTTTATCATAAACTTTAGTAATTGAACAAATTTAACCTCTAAACTTTCGATTTTAAAAGTTAAATCCTAAAAAAAAAAAAAAACTTTCTTTTCTCTCCCACTTTTTCTCCTATCATTCTACTTTCTCTCTCATGCTTCTCCCTCTCTCCTTCTACCGCGGCGGTTTCCAATCTATCACGAGTTGTTATCTTTTCCGGCGAGTCTTAGCCCTCAAGTTCATTACACAAATATAATGGTAGTAGAATTTCTTTTCTGACACTATGGTCGATGATAGTGGTGGATTGCTTCTTCCACGAATTGGGTTCATCTTTCTTTGGTTCTCCCATACCAAATTTTCTTCAAAGGGCTTGTCTGAATCTAAGGTTCTGATGAGCCCAACTTCACTTCTTTTAACTGTTTTTGAGTCTGAGAGGGACGAAATCGAACACCCATAGAACACAAAACACAAGTAATAGAGTCCAAACGGCGGATCAAGGTCGGAGCYGTGGATTCGACGCTATTAATATTCCTGGATTCCATCTCAAAACCATCGGTAACAATAGGGGTAGTCTATTATAAACCATCGGTAACAATGTGATTCTTTTGACTTATCCATTTTGGTCGGATCTTTTTTTGGATGACATTGGTTCCATTTTTGGAAAAGTGGGAGAGAAAGTAAAAATAGATTACTTTTTTATTTAGTTTTTAAAAAATTGAAAATTTCGGTGGGTACTTTTTTCAATTATCAAATTTTGGGGTTTAATTTTTACCATTGAAAATCTACGAGAACAATTTTTTCACTTGTAAAATTGAAGGTTTTAATTTTTACACTTATAAAAATTCAAGWGTTTAATTTTTACGATCGAAAGTTTGAGTGTAATTGCAACAATCATCCTACTTTATGGTGGTTTATGCAATTTGTCCAAAATTAAATTATTATTTCTGCCTCTCCTCTCTTTCTACTTTCTCTCGGATTCTTCCATTCTTCAAGTTCTCTCATCAATGGCAGACAAAGCTCCCTCTTTCTTCCTCCCCTTTCCTCCTTGCCTGCTTCATTTGGTTCCATTTTCATGCCTAGGCTCCCTAAGGGAGGGACAACAAGAAGGAGAGAGAAAGTAGAAAAGGGGCGTAATTTTTTTAAGTTTAAGAGTAATTTTTGAAAATGGGAAGTTTAGCAGCGTAATTTTTTCACTTTATAAAAGTTTAATTTCTACRATTGAAAATTTTGGGYGTAATTTTAACAACTTTCATACTTTAAGAGTGCAATTTGTTCACTTGTAAAAGTTCAAAGATATAACTTTTACAATTGAAAGTTTGAGGGTGTAATTGTTACAACCATCATACTTTAGGGTGATTTATGCAATTTTCCCATTAATTTTTTTTTAAGTTTAGAAGTTTAATTTTTTAAAATCGAAAGTTTAGGGTCTAATTTTTTTAAAATTTATGAAAGTTCGAGGAATCAAGGGTTTGATTTTTACAATTAAAAGTTTAAGAGTGTAATTGTAACAATCATCTACTTTAAGGGTGCAATTTATTCATCTGTAAAAGTTCAAGGGTTTAATTTTTACAATTGAAAGTTTAGGGTGTAATTATTTTTTAAAATTTATGAAAGTTTGAGAAATCCAGGGTTCAATTTTTACAATTGAAAGTTTGATGGTATAATTGTAATAATCATGTACTTTAAGGGTGCAATTTATTTATTTGTAAAAGTTCAAGGGTTTAATTTTTACAATTGAAAGTTTGAGGGTATAATTGTAACTATGATCGTACTTTAGGGGTGGTTGGTGCAATTTACACAAATAAAAATAATATTAATTATAAGAGAATGATGAAAAAATAGTAAGTAAAAAAACAAAAAATAAAAAGTAGATATAAACACATTTGTAAAAATAGAATTTTTCTCACCTCATAGTTGGAAAAGAAACATTATTGCTAAACTATATAAAAGTAAAATTGTATCATCTCAAACTTGATTTGAGATATAAATTTGATTAATCCCATGCTACTTAAATATATCACATATGTCTTGAGTTAATTTAATTTCAAGATTAAAGAAACCTCGAGAGAAACGAAACGAGAGATTAATATTAAAGAAAAAAATGAAATTCAAATGTTGGTGGATAAATGGTGGAAGAAAACATCCTTGTGTTACTGCAAGCTTAGTATTCGAAATATATAGATTTGAACATATATCATTTGTAACTTGATGAATATGTCACCAACATCTCGAGATGTTTTCAAGATTGAGTAATTTTTTAGAGATGTTTTTAAGGAACTAAAACTAAATAAGTAAAACTCTCTGTTGTGAAAGCAGAAAACCTATTTTTATAGTAACAGAGAATAAAAAAAATTACAAAAACTTTTGAAATTAGAAAATTCTTTTATTCTAGTATAAATTATAATTAAAGAAAAAAAATTAATTTTATGTGTAGAAAACTTTCTATATTCTAACCTTTTAAATTCTATGCATTTATTAGTATGATAATTAATAATTAATTCTATATTTATAATAATATATTAATGGTATGATTTGTAAATTAATAAAGTTAGTAAGGGACAAAAGTGTCCAAAAATCTTTTTCTACRTCCTCTTTTTTTAATATAATATAGATGTACAATAGAGATTTCTTTAATTTTTTTTTATAAAATTTAGAAACTATTATAGACATGGTTGAGGCTTTAATAATGAAAAGAATATCCAAATGGATTTAGGTTATCATTAATAATAAAAAATTAACGGTAAGAATTTTGTGAAGATAGATAATTGTAGACATGGTTGAGGCTTTAATAATGAACGAAGGTAGCACACTAGGTCTTTAGGCGATCACCGAAAAGGAAGCCAACCCCAAATGCATTTTAATTTGATGAACAAAGAAATCGAGGTCAATGATAAGTTCTCAGTGAATGTGGTTCTACTACATTTAACTTCACAAGGTGGATAGGGAATGCTTTTCATTCTTTCCTGAGTTTCAACGGTGTTAGGAGATAAAAAGAACCTTATCATGTGGAAAACAACAGAAGCTCGAAATATAAGGTCTTTCTAGAAAACTTGTAGGAAAGGTCGACCTTCGAACTCAACCTTAAACCGGCAGCGGTAGAACCCTATATGGTTGAAGGTCCCATCCAAATCCGACCTTCGGCACCCGATGAGCAAGTAATAGACTTCTCGATAGCTAAAATTACTCGGTCAGACACCTTGTCGAATGCTCACTCGATAAATAGAGGGCCACATTCTAATATTAGGTATCACATTCTAGCTTGGTATTTTTACTAAAATCGAATTAAAACTGACTTGATAGTAGGAGTGTCCGCTTATCTTGTGTAGATATTTCATGGTCAAATGAGTGTCTGTCTTATATGGTTGAAGGTCCTGCCCAAATCTGACCTTTGGCACCCAATGAGCAAGTAATAGACTTCCCGATAGCTGAAATTACTCGATCAGACACCTTGTTAAATGCTCACTAGATAAATAGAGGGCCACATTCTGACATTAGGTATCACATTCTAGCTTGGTATTTTTACTAAAGTCGAATTAAAACTGGCTTGATAGTCGGAGTGTCTGTTTATCTTGTGCAAGTCTTTCCTGGTCAAATGACACTTTGACCTTGACTAAAAAGCTGTGTAAACAAATAATAGGATTAGGGTGATGATTTGAATACCTTTTGATCATARATATATGTCTTAACCCGCTATAAATAAATGCACGAAAAAAGGAGAAAAAGAAAAGACAAAGAAAATGGGTCAAATTTTGGTGTGGAGGGCAGAACAGACATTTCACGAAGGGAGAGAATCCTTTTCAGCAACAAAGACAAAAGTTCCATATTGCAAAAATTGTAAATATCTTTCACAACTATTCAAAGTGGAACATAAAATGACAAATTAAAAAAAAAAGGAGAAAAGGGGGATTTCCTCTTTTTATTATTATTATTTTTAAAAAAATTATTTAAAAAAAAGGCAAAAAAAGAAAACAAAAAAGACAGAGAAAAAGAAAGAAAGTAAAGAAAATTAAAAAGAAAGTTATGTGCTTACGAATATGTTGACACCTTCCGACGTCAAACCTTCAAACCCTCTCTCTGATTGCCAAACTCTCTCTCTCTCTCCACCATTTCTCTCTCCTCTCTCTGCAACTTCCTATACTTTATTTTTCTTGCCGAGCTCCCTTCAGTCTCATTCCGTACAAATCTTTGAAATCCATTTTGATTTTCCCTCCTCTCTTCATTAATTGACCCATTCCATCTGTAATTTTGGTTTGAGGACGTTGCTGCTTCATTTTTCATTTTTCATTTTTTTTGGTCCCTCCTTTCTTCTGGGCTCAACGATTTTGGTTGAGGGAATTCGAATTGGCGGGAGGCAACGGTAAATTATGCGGTTCTAGGAGGTGGGTTTTTATTGGATTTGGACTTGGCGTTGGAAACCGTTTGAATTGTTGGGAGTTTCGATGGCGAACCCATCTGGGAACCATCAGGAAGCTGGCCAACCATCGTCTTCCTTCGATGGAGGGAACCCCAGCAACGGCAATTCGACACCAGTGGCCCCAGCGGATAATTCGAGTTCGGCGCTTGCGATGAAGCACAACCCAGGTATCTCAACGGATTGGACATCTGATGAGCAGGTCACCCTGGAAGAGGGGCTTAAGAAGTGAGTTCTTTTTCCTTTTCTTTTTCTCTTGTTTTAAATGTTATCTTTTAAGCTTATTGGGAGCTGGCTGGCTTCAATTAAGCTTATTGCTTTATGGAGTTGGTTCTTGCGTTTATGGAAGTTGCTGAGGATCCGGAAGCTGTTTCAATTAAGCGATTTGGTTGTGCTATTTTATTTTATTTCTGAATGGAATTGATTTTTGCCTTTTAAATTCAAGTTCCTTTTCTCATTTTTGCGGCATTTTTTCCTTTTTTGTGGGTTCATGCATTATTATGTTTAAATTTTCAAGAAATTGCGACTGGCTGTGTCTCATATAACTCATCTGGGGTTCGGGCGTTATGAACAAATTGTACTATTTTTTCGGTCTTTCAAAGGGAGTAGTAGAGATTTTTGTAATGTTTGGGAGGTTGTACAGTACATTGCCTCCTCTTTGGCCAAGCTCCACAAAACTTTTCCTTTGCTTCCTGTTGGTGTTATCGACATGAATTGAGGTCCTTTTGTAGACTCCTATTTTTAGGGTTAAGGGGGAGATGCCTTATCTCATTGCCGTTTCTGTGTATTCCTCTTTTTTATTTTTTTTTWATTTTTTTTTGCTATAATGAGATGCTAAGGGTCTCTTGTATCGAAATGAAGAAACATTTCAACGAAAAATATCTTTAGTAGTAGCCATAGGCCAGCTGCATTCAATTTAGGGCTCTCAACAAATATTTTTTTGTTAAACCTTTTAGTTTTAAAAATTACAGCTAAGTATAAATACGTATCTGTGTATCCTCAGGAGTTTTTTTTTCTGGACATTTCCTTTTCATATTATYAATGAAAGTTGTTTCTTGTTAAAAAAAAAAAAGGAAGTAGAGAAGAAGTATAACATATGTATTATTTATTTATTTATGGATCTTAATGTTCTTGGCTTTTGAGATCGAAAAACTTTTCAGTAAGATCATCAACATATCATTTCAACAGCCTGTATTACTAACCTGGCTACCATATACCATGGTTGAGGCTTAAGGCTCCCCTTGGGTGTGGCTTGCCTCAGTTTGCTGTAGGTGACTTCCTGAGTATGCTTTGACTTGAGAACACTTCCTTATCTGGAGCTAAGCTTGACAAGTCAATGATATTTTGGGTAAATTGTGCAGGGGAGAAGTTTTATCAGTTATTCATACCTAGTAGGTTTAATTGGTGTGGGCAGAACAACCATAAGAAAATGTAACTTAAACAGTCTGCCATATACCTGGTAGAATGGATTCTAATGCCTGTGTACAAATTTTTACTTCTAAGGCTCTACCTGAATTTTTGCTTTCTTGGCTCTTGGAATTATGTAACCATGTTACATACAAATCCTTGCATGGCTGTGAGGGTGCTTTTGGTCATATCCTTAGACGTTTCTCAATTGGTAATAGAATTGTTAGATTTTATAATCAAATGAACTTATGAGTTATAAATGCTAGGAAAATGTTTTAGACGCTAGAATTTGAAGATGAATCCCCCTTTTGCTAAAACTCTATCTTGGAGGTTTCTTCTAGTTTTTCATCTTCGTTCCTTCTTCATTTTCTAATGTTTCTTTAAGGGGAAATAACTTGAACTTCTGTGCATTGTTTTATTATTCTTATTCTATTCCCCCTTTTCACCTGACTAACCTTCTTAATGTTTTTAGGTGGCTCAATTGTTTTAGTAGATGATCTTGATTTGGTTTATATGACACAGATATGCCACAGAGTCTAGTGTTATTCGGTATGCAAAGATTGCAATGCAGCTACCGAATAAGACTGTACGAGATGTTGCGTTGCGTTGCAGATGGATGAACGTAAGTTTTTTTTTCTCAGTTCTTGCTTTTATCAACTTGTAAATTATTGATAAGTTTTCTATCCTTGAGTTGTAACATGCATACCACAAGCCTAGTAATTGGTCACAAACAATGTATATCCAAGTCCCCATTAGCAAAGAAATATATAATTGGCAGGATTTTGTGCTTGGATTCACCTTTGCTTAAAGCTTCATGAAGTTCATGTTTTCAGCTATGTTCTGCTGAACCCAGTGGGTTCAAATCTATATACATTCTAAACTTCTTGTCTTTAAATGGTCTGAATGTTAATGAATCCACACGATTATCCCCGCTCTGACAAATTGGATGAAAATCACA